AGCATACACCCAGCAGCGCTGCTGATGCCTGAACAGTATGTGTAATGAAGTGGGCGGGCATCGGGAGGCCACTATGGCACGGGGCAAGCACTATGGGCAGTCTATCTGAAGTGTACCTGGCGTATAAGACGACCCCCCACTTGGAGGCATATTTTTCAGGGCCAAAAAATCGTCTTATACGCCAGCAAATACGGTAACTTAAAGGAATCATGAAAGTCAAAGCATTTAAAATATAATGTTGAATGGGATAAAGTCTTTCCAGACAAAAAGTATAAGAAAACTAAAAGAAAATTTTGATTAATTAGGCTATGTAAGAAGCAAAAACTTATATGGAGAAAAAGTACAAAAAGTCAAATCATAAATACATTTTTTAAAACCTCACTTGAGGATATTTATTTGTTGTTTTTGCTTAAGAGAGAGAGGAAGGTGGTGGGGGAAGAAAGAGAGAAAGAGAAAGAGAGAGAGAGAGAGAGAGAGAGAGAGAGTCATCGATCCATCCATCTGTTGCCTCCTGTACGTGCCCCAACCAAGGATCAAACCTGTAACATAGGCATGTGCCCTGACAGGGGATCAAACCCACAATATTTTGGCGCACAGGACAGCTCTCCAACCAATTGAACCACCTGGTCAGGGCCATAATACATTTTAAAACATATGTCTCTGACTATTTCCTTGGTACATAAAGAGCTTTTAGAAATCAATAACAACTAGTGGCCCAGTGCACGAAATTCATGCATGGGTAGGGTCTCTAGGTCTGGTTGTCGATTAGGGCTGATTAGGTTCCCCACTTTCCTGCCTCCCTACCTCTCTGCCTTCTCCTTCCCTCACTCCCTCAGCACCCCACCGCTGCTGGTTGCCCACCATGTTCTGCACTGCCCCCTGGTGGTCAGCACACGTCATAGCGAGCGATCGAACTCCTGTTCTCCTGGTTGAACTCCTGAGGGGACACTTTGCATATATATAGTCTGCCTCCTGCCCACAACCAGGCTTCCTCCTTTGTCAAATATTGACCATAAAGGAATGGGTTTATTTTAGGGCTCTCTATTCTGTGCCATTGATCTACATGTCTTTTTTTTTTTTAATGCCAGTACCATGCTGGCTTAAGATATTCTTTGTATGTTTTTATTGATTTCAGAGAGAGGAAGGAAGAGGGAGAGAGAGGTAGAACCATCAATGATGAGAAGGAATCATTGATTGGCTTCCTCCTGCACATTGGACCGAGCTCACAACCCAAGCATGTGCCCTTGACCGGAATCGAATCTGGGACCCTTCCATCTGCAGGCCAACGCCCTATCCAGTGAGCCAAACCAGCTAGGGCTCATGTTGCTTTTAATGGGAAAACAGGTAGCAGAAGATGGGGAACAACCTAAATGTCTGTGGCAGTGTTAAAATTTATCCCCGAATTGGTACTCCTCCCTGTGAGTGTGGGCAGTGACAGTGACTGTGATCAATAGAATGTGGTGGAAGTGATGGTAACAGACTTTCAAGACTGGGTTATAAAAAGCATTTGCCTTCTTCCTCATTCTGCCTCTTGAGTTAGTCACCGTGGAAGAAGCCAGCTACCGTGTTGAGAAGACGCTGAAGCTGCCCCATGACGAGACCCACAGGCAGGAACTGAAGCCCCACGCCCACAGCCACGTGAACGAGCCGCCTGGGGGGTGGGCTCTCCAGCCCCAGCCAGGCCCTCCTTCCGGCGGCTTCAGCTCCAGCTGATTTCTTGGCTGAAACCTTGGGAGAGACCCAGAGCCAGAAGAACCCAACTAAGCTGCTTGTGAATCCATTACCAGGGGATCATGAGATAATCAATGTTTGGTTTAAGCTGCTAAGTTGTGGGGTCATTTGTTAAGCAACGATGGATAACAGATATAGTATTAAATAATAAAAAGCTGGTTAATAAAGTATTGTCCTGACATGAATTGGAACCCCATGCTGCTGTTAAAAATAATACCTTCTGCTTGAGATGTGGAAAGCTAGAAGGAGAACTATCTCCACACGTGCGAGATTTTAAAAAATCTTGAAAATACACAAATGCACAACTTTTCTTGAACGCATGAGAGAGCTGAGTTCACAAGGCAACATCTAACCTGAAATTTAAGGAAAAACATTTCCTTTCCCTTCTTCCCTCGGCTTCTTCCCCAACAGGCACGAGTCTCCTAAACTCTAAGGGTCCCTACAAGACTTGCAACCAGGGGAGCAGTGGGCAGCAGACGCTCATCCCAGCCTTACCCCCGACCCTGTCTCCAAGGCCCCCTTTTCTCTGACTTCTCAGTGAGCCAAAGCTGCCCGGCCTGGGCTCACTTCCCGACCCTGTCCCTCCCCTGCTGCTGCTTCTGTCCCAGGTCCCTCCTTGTTTCACTGTCCCTGCCTTAATAAACATCCTCTAAAATTCACCTGGACTCATGTTGTGAGATGTTTCCTGCACAAAGTCAAGAACCCACACACTGCCAGCCAGCCCAGCAGACGTGCACAGGGCCAGGGCCCCTTTCCAGCAACAGTCTTCTTAAGTGCACACAGAACATTTAACAGACCGTTGTTATGGGATGAATTGTCTCACACACACACACACACACACACACACACACACACACACACACCTGTGTTGTGTTGATCTCATTCTATTGATAGTGATACTATAGGCCACGAATGTATATTCTTCACTCAGATGCGTAGGCCTGAAAGGTAATCCTCCATTGTTTTGGCTAATTTAATAGAGCAAGGATATAAGACATGGAAAGGTTGCCTTTCAAAGATAATGAGTCGTTTTCATGTCCCAGGAACTTTGGGTTTGTAACGCCACCTGGGAATAGATGTTGTTTTCTCCATTATACAGCAGGAGAAACCGAGGCCCCGAGGGGTCACCCCAGGTCGTACAGCTGCGGAGTTGCAAAGGCCAGGTTCTAACCCACATCTCCCTGACTCCACGCTCAGTGCTCCTGCTCCTCACCAGGTGAGGCCCCAGGTGAGGTGGCCATGGCTGCCTCAGACCTTTAGTGAGCACACCGAGATGGACCATGCTCTAACCACTGAGCCTAACCACTAAGACTCCTGCCCACCCTCATGACGGAGGGGCTGACTGTCCCCTGGCTGAGAGGCATCTCTGGCTTAATTCAAGGTCTTCAGGAAAATGAAGACCCACAGTAAGAGAGAATGGGTGGGCGCTGACTCAGACTCCCACCTCTGGTGGAGAAATGATCTCAGGTCCTTCAAATTAGGGGGAGGGGCATCCCCACACCGCATCCCCCACCCTCCCAAACCCTAGAGCAGTGGTTCTCAACCTTGGCTGCACTTTAGAATCGCCTGGGAATCTTTTGAAAATCCCGATTTCTGGGCCCCATCCTCCGGAAATTCTGAAGAAACAGGATGGGGCCCAGAAATCAGGATTTTAAAAAGATTCCCAGGAGATTCTAATGTGCAGCCAAGGTTGAGAACCACTGCCCTAGAGCCTGAGATGAAAGTGCCTGCTTTCTCCCCAGGGCCACTTGTGGTTCCCTCCCCGTGGGGGCGGGCCGTTCAGCGACTTCTCACTATGTAAATGACCGGCTTCTCGGCCACACCTGAAGGAGGAAGCCGACTGGAATTAGCCTCAGGCCATTCAGGAAACCCAGCTGTGCTGAGCGAGGCCCCGCGAAGCAGCAGCACCAGCCTCCAGAGTCCCAGGCCCCGGCTCCCAGCCATGCCCTGGCAGCTCCCTGCAGCGATGGTGCTCTTCCTGTCCCTGGCCGGTGAGTGACAGACACGCCTTTGCACAGGGACCCTGCCAATGCCTGGTCCTAGTAAACTGAACTGCACTTTGGTGCCATTGACCAAGGTGAGACCGGACAGACTGGGGAGCTGTGGTAGCTTCCCTTACTGTGGGTATGTGGCTCCCAACATCTTGTCTCCCCCTTATGAGCTTACACAGGTGGGCGCACTTCCTTGTTTCCAAGGGCTTCCATGTGTGGAGTGGTTTTCTGTGCGTTGGGCAGAGCAGGTGGCAGCCCCAGAAGACAGTGACCCTGGCCCTGGTTCCCAGATGGGTTTGGGGCACCTTCTCAGGGAGAGTCTGTGGCGATCGCTTATATTTAAGAGAGGGAGGTGGAAGCCGGGACTTAGCCATGGGGCTCTTGCTACCTTGTCTGGGGAAAGCACCCCATGTCTTGCTTTTCCTGTTTTCCTCAAGTGGGAATGCCATGTTGATATTACATAGGCAGTGAATTGTGAAGATGAATGAGGTGTGATCTGACAAATCACGCCATTTCCAAAAGGGGTAAGCCAGGGCGTCAAAGATGTTTAAATGTCACCGTTACACTTGGGATCAGAGAGCCTGTCTGGGAAGCTGAGCTTTCCGTGACTATTTTATGTCCCCACCCCCTGCTTTCACCAAGAACGCTTTCCCTCTAAGACACGGAGTCCTCTCGGTTGCCCTGATCAGGTTTGCCGGTTAATCCGCAATCCCTCCCCCAACCACTGCACTGAGCAGGCGAGGGACCGAGCTCTGTCCACGCGGCCCTGCTGACAGGCTCCAAGGGGGGACACAGCGGCCCTGGAGTGTGACGTCAGTGGTTAGGGAGTTGGGTGAAGGATCGGACCAGCTGTGTATTCTGGTGCCACATTTTCAGAATTAGAGTTTCACATTCTGCTGGAGGCAGAAGGGAAGTCACCATTTCACTGAGCAGGGCAAGCGAATAAAAGCAGAAGATCTCAGTCTGGCAGTCAGCCTCGCTGACCGGTGCGTGAGAGCCAGTTCCATGGCTGACCTGACCGATGACTGACAGGTCCAGGAATGTCCCGGGCGCTGGGTAAACGCAGTGTGAGAGGAGCTGCTGCGGATTCTCAGAGGGAACCTGAGTGAATGAAGCGTGCGAAGGGGCCCCGTTTGCCACACGCGGGTCCTGAGGCTGGTTAAGGACTTGCTCCTGGCCGCTCCGCTGGCCAGAGCACTTTCTCAGGGCGGCAACCCTGAGACTGGCATCGGGAAAGCCCGGCTTGCGGTCCAGGCTCTGCACTACTGCACCTGCACGCATGGGTTCGAGAAATACTTGTGGAATTGGAGATGAGAAAACCATTAGGCACTCTGCTCGGAGAGACACAGCTTCTAGGTAAAGTGGCTGTGTAAGGGTTGCCCAGCCACTCTGCTTCCCTGTCTCAAATCCCTCCCTCGTGGAACGAGGGCATCAAATTTGTGTCATTTAAAGTTTAGGTTCAGCTGCACATAAGAGACAAGCCCCAAATGACAGTGAATTACACAGGATAAATGTTCCTTTCTCTCTGATGTGAAAACAAGTCCAGGGGAACACGGACCAGGTCTGGTGTGGGGACTCATGACCACGGACCCACCATCCTCTGTGCGACTTCTGCCCAAAGTCTCCTCATGGTTCTGGAGGTCAGCTGCAGCTCCAGCCACCACATGCACAGCGTCGCCCCAAGACCCGCCCGGCCTGCCGCTGTGCCTCCCACCACTTCCCCCGTTCCCACACCCCCCTTCCCCACCCTCCTTATGTTCCCGCCACGCTGATCCCCTGCTCTTCTCCAGACCAGCCAGGCTCTGAGGCCTCGGTGTCTTTGCACATAGGCACATAGGAACTTCTCCTCCAGTCGGATTCCTCCCCCACCTCCTAGCACTTGTCACATGGAGGGGGGTGGCCTGTTCTGCCTCCTGAGGCTTTGAGCCCCTGAGAACAAAGTGCCCCCAGCGCCAGCATGAAGCTTGGCTCACAGGAGGCTTCTACACTTTGGGGGAATTGGGTGCAGCAAGGAAGCCAAACAAAGAATATCTGGGAAGGACTGACCATCTGGGAAACACCTAGAGAAGAGGCCCTTGTGTGGCCACTGACTTTCCCAGAGCCTGCAGGTTGTCGGAGAACCACAACCTTCCCCCGCCTCTTCCTGCGGCTCATTCTCTAGAGGAGTCCCGGTCAGTACTGGGTCAGGCCCTGGGGTACTTGTTTGCTGAGTCTCCTGAATTCTGGAGAGGAGATGCTGGGAGGCGAGGGGCTTGGCAAATCAGTGTGTGACTCCATGGCTGTGTTGTTGTTGTTCTTAGCAGAGGGAGGGTCGACAGGTTCTGAGTTATGCCCTGCCCTTACTTCTGCCCACTGCCTATCTATATTTCAAGTGTTGGCATTTTAAAAAATATATTTTTATGGATTTCAGAGAGGAAGGGAGAGGAAGAGAGAGGTAAAAAATATCAACGATGAGAGAAAATCATTGATTAGCTGCCTCCTGCACTCCCTACCCTGGGGATTGAGCCTGCAACCCAGGCATGTGCTCTGACTGGGAATCAGCCCTGGTTCATAGGTCGACCTCAACCACCGAGCCATGCTGACGGGCTAAAAATATGTTTTTTAAAAAAGGAGTTTAGGGGTGATTTTCATTAGATGTGAACTTCAGGACTCTATAAATACCCTCAGAGAGAGATCTCCTTTGTCTTTTCCCAAGTCGCTGCCTAGCACCTGGCAGCTACATCTCCAATGCGTATAAAAATGCAATGAAATCACAGCTTTGAAGACACAAAGCCATCTCTCGCTGTACCTCATCACAAAGTCCCAAGGAACATCATCTGCAGTTTGTCCCCTTTTCTGGCTTGCGAGGTGCCTGGAGGGAGATAAGGATAGAGCTATTGGTTGCAAAGAGCCACAGGCCTTCTTCAGGGATAGTCCAAGAGCCTGTGACAATAATACACACTGCTTAATGCTCCATGAAGGCTTTCACTTAAACCAACTCTTTTGAGCCTTATAAACATCCTAGAGGTCTACAGTCCTCTTACCCCCATTCACTCATTCAGTTATTTATTCATCCGATCCATAGCCACAGAATGCTTCCTATGCACAGACACTGGTGGTGAAAAAATATGCACCATTCCCACCTCAAGATTGCTTCTAATCCAGTGGGAGAGGTGTGCAATCAACAGATAAGTCAATACGTAAACATTTAACCACAGCTGATATTCTGCTGGGACACACTGTCTGGCCAGGCTTATCGTTAAATATTTGTATTCCATCCCCTCATAGAATTACAAGTTGTGATCAGTGCGGTGAAGGCAACAAATACACCTCTGTGACGGAGAGTCACGGGATGGGGAGCTAGGTTACATAAGGGGGACAGGGAGGACTCTGAGGAGCTGACATACAGGGCGGGCAACAGTAGGTTGACAGTTTTAAGTATGCAAAACACAGTTTATCCTTGCATTATTATTTACTTATTAGTTATTGTCTTATTTATTTGTATTATTGTTATTATTATTTTGTATTCTTACTTATGACTTACCTTTAGGTAATGATGGCTGGTAATCTAACCTACTTTTTCCCGCCCCTTATAAGTCAAAACATGAAGGATAGCCCACCAGGTGTATCAAAGCCATTATGGCTTAATTTTCTTTCTAACTTGAGAAAGGTTAGGCCACTCAGAGATTAAGTAAGGAAATGACAGGAAATGACCTATATTTAGAAAGACAGGTGGCAGGATAAAATATGAAAGGGTACTGACTCTCCCATCATTGGAGGTAACCAAGCATAGAGCAGATGAACACATGGCCACTCACTGGTCCAATTTACACATCTGATTAGGGTTTGGACTAGCAGATCTTTAAAATCCCTTTTGAATCTGGGATTATGTGGTTTTATGCAAACTCTGTTTTATGTACAACTCTGTGACTCTTTATTACCACCCTTCACACTGCCCCAGCTGAGTCAGGTCAGCACAGCCGCGCTCTACCCAGGAACACCCTCTTCCTACGAACTGTCTTCACAGGTGAAGACGGGGAAAGAAGAATGGTCACTTAGCTGTCTCGCTGAATGTGATCGCTTGGTGTGTTAGCACCACACCCCATCTAGACAAGCGGGGTTGGATAGAGAAGACACAGGGGCTGGATGCAATATGATCACATCCTTGTAAAAAAAAAACATGGGTACGACCAAAACATTACGGCTGTTGCCTTGTGGTAGAATCTTGGGTGATCTTCACTTGACTGTTATATGCTTTTAACTTTCCCCTAAATCTGGGAATATGCATGTTAATTTTTAACGAAGAATGGGGGGAGACCTTTGTGAGCTGTTAGTTGAATGTTATCACTTTTGTTCCCCAATTTGCAGTGATTTTGCATCATGGCAGTCAAGTCAGAGCAACAGGGTTTCCAGAAATCACAGGCTCTTCTCAACCTACAAGAGCAGCAACAGTACAGGCCACAGCAAAACCTTCTTTCCTGAAACGGACTAGCCAAGTGCCTCACAGAACTACAGCAGCAAGTTCGACGGGTGGTCCCGTCCCCTCTCAAACAGCTGCCACAACCTCCAACTCTGAGACCCCAATGACACACACAACAATAAAAACTCTGACAACAACCTCTCTCATAACCACAGACAGCACCCCATCCACCAGCCCCAACACCCACACTCCAGTCACAACCCTGGCCACACCCAACAACTCACACACGGCTGCTCCCGTCACCGAGGCTACAATCGGCCCCAGCACAGCTCCTGGTTCACTGCCCCCCACCATCACCCCACCAGCCCATACAACTAGACCCAACCCATCGACTGCCAGCCACACAACTGGGAAGACCACCCAACCCAGTAGCCACACAACTGGGAAGACCACCCAAACCACCCTTCCAACAACTTTGTCCACCTCACCACACATCAACACAACCAGTCAGAAGCCCACTCAACCCACCCATGCCCTGGTCACAACCACAGCTGCACACAATGCCACCCACACAGCCTCCCCTGCCACCATAGCTCCAGGGCCCACCCTGGCACCTCAGCCATCACCAGCCAAGACTGGAATTTATCAAGTGCTAAATGGAAGCAGGCTCTGTATCAAAGCAGAGATGGGGATACAGCTGATGGTTCAAGACACGGAGTCGGTAAGTTGGGGCCTCGGGACTGTAACACTGTCTTCAAAAGGTTTGAGTGGCGTCTCCTGGCCAAGAATGAGCATTCCCCTGCATCCCGCATCTTTTCATGAAATAAATAGCATGAACGCCCCTTCCTCCAAGGTGCTCCATTAAAACAGCGGTCGCCAACCTTTCGGACCTCACAGACCACCAGCGGTTGGCGACCGCTGCTCCAAAGGTGTAGGTGAATCTGTTTTAGAATATGTGTAAAAATAGAAACCGACAGTGACAGCTGGGAGAGAGGAAGGCACTCACCCAAAATTTAAATATGCACACCTGCCGCAACCTGCACGGCTAGGGTTCGGGGTCTGAAGGAGGGGCTGACGGACACGTGAAATACTATACAAGAAATATGAATTTAGAAGGCACGGGGGGCCAGGTGGAGACCTCTCTCTTGGAGAGGCACACCGAAACCTGGCCTTATCCGCTTTTTATTCGGTTTTAGACACACATCTTGCCCTCAGTAAAGCACGGCAAACAGGTAGCAGACAGACCGTCTCTAAGGTCAGTAAACATCAGTAAACATCAGTAAGGTCCAGTAAACATTTACTCTGAGGCTATTAGGACAGGAAATTGCTTTAAGCCACCGCTATCTCAACACAGCCCTGCTGATGCCCAAGGTCCACGGGCCTTCCGCGTTCCTTGGTGCACTGTTATGGCAGTATTGGGAAAGCAGTGGCCTCCCGCACACTCCCCTCACGTTTAGCCACCACAGGCAGAGCATCCGGGGTGCTCAGTGTTGATCCCACCCCGCCCTGCCCGCCTGATGGCCTCCCAGCCTCAGCAGCTTGTCCTGTGAAGTGAGAGGTTTGGATTAGGTGGTCTCCGTGGTTCCAGCCAGCTGGGACATGAATACGGAAAATCCAGATTAACAAGAAGATCAGAGGGGATGGAGGTGAAACTGAGATGATTTGATTTACTAAAGGAATCACCACAAAACTGTACTTTCTTCTTTTGTACAGTTTCTTTTTATGGTTGTTCATACTCACCCAAGGATATTTTTCCATTGATTTTTAGAGAGAGGGGATAGGAGTGGGAGAGACAGAGAGAGAGAGAAATATCAATGTGACAGAGACACATCGATTGGTTGCCTCCCACACCTGCAACTGAGGTAGGTGCCCTTGACCGGAATTGAACGCGAGACCCTTCAGTCCACAGGCCGATGCTCTATCCACTGAGCCAGACCGGCTAAGGCTTTTTTGCACAGTTTTTATGATTTCAAACAGAACTTCCACATTTGAAACTGAAGTACATTACATAGCAAATCTTTCCCGCAGTACCTTTCAACATGCATAATTTAACAAAAATTAACTCCCACACAGTTTATCAGGAATATACCTGCCAGGAGTTTTCTACCCAGGAGCTCCTCTCTGAGGGAGAGCTCCTTTAAAGAATGCTTTGAACCTAACAGTTGGGAAGTGTGAGGCGTCATACAGGGACTTTGAAATTCTCAAGTGAACCCCCGCTAGCCTTGAATTCAGGCTCACTTATTAGCCTCTGTCCTTTGCTTCGCCAGCTAGACTTGTCTTCTGTATCGACATGAGCTGATCTACTTTATCTGGTTTAGGTTTTTTCACCTCAGAGATACTTCAACATCGACCCCAATGCAACGCAAGCCTCTGGGAACTGTGGCTTCCGAAACTCCAACCTTCTCTTGAACTTCCAGGGCGGATTTGTGAACCTGACCTTCACCAAGGTGAGGACTGAGCTCCTTCACACGAACTGGCTTCAACATCTCTCTCCCTCCCGCTCCCTCTGGGGCCCACACTTCACTTTGAGTTCCAGGGAAATAGATCTCAGGGCCTTTTGAGATGTTCTCTGATAAGAATGAGGGGCCTGGAGATGGAGAGGAGGAAAGTGTCGACATCTTATGTTTGCCTTCGGCCCCCTCCCGCCTCCTCTGTGCAGCTCAGAAGGCCTTTTGATGCCTCTTGGGGGAGACTTGGCCTGGGGAACCCAGCAGTACGCGCCCTTTGCAAACCACCCAAGGAGGAAGTTGTAGAGATGAATAGACCCAGAGGAGTTCCCAGTGAGCGTCGGAGAAACAAGACTAGTCTAAGACAAAAACCAAATGTCACAATGGGTCTTTCCAGCCACAGCAGGCAAAACTCAGGGACTAACCAGGCTCTGGGTTTTCTAGACCATTTCCTGGGAGGGCGTAAACAACAGAGTAGAATGGAAGAGCACGGGCGTGAGGCCAGAGCGTCACTCATTCTCCTCCTGACATCAGGCAGGCAACTCAACTGGTCTGAGCTTTGTTTTATCGCTTGAAAAATGGGGGAAGGGAATTCGAGTTCACTTCTGTAAAGAGCATTGTCCAATACAAGGAAAGTAGATGTTCAATAACCAGGAACTATGATTGAACTGAGAGAGGGAGAGAGAGAGAGAGAGAGAGAGAGAGAGAGATCAATTTGTTGTTCCACTTATCTATGCATTTACTGGTTGCATCTTGTATGTGCCCTGACTGGGGACTGAGCCCACAACTTTGGCATATCAGGACAACACTCCAACCAACTGAGCTACTTGGCTAGGACTGGTAATTTATTTATTTTTCTTACTTTAAAAAAAATAAAATGTTTTAAATTGATTCAATTAACAAAGATTTTTAAGTAGAATAATACATAATGTTGGCAAGGACACACATAACCAAGTGCTCTCAACATTTCTGGAAGGAGTTTGCATTTGCACCCTGTGACCTTTGGTCTTCTATGTCCTTTTCCACATCTTGCAGCGAAAATATTTTTCCACTTTTGATGTGAAGGGAGATTTCCATTAAATCTGCATAAGAAAAACATTAGAGTAAGTATGAGATGATAAGTGGCAACTACTAAGGCCTCTGTAGAGAGGAGACTAAAGGAAGGCTAGGGAGTGCCCATCCTCCCCAGGCCGGCAGCCACGCCACAGCTGCGGCTGGTGGGGCCAGTGGTGGGGCTGGCATCTAGCCCGGGCACTTGTCACAGTCTTTTATGGCGGGCACTGCCCTACTGCACCAGTTGTTAAATATTATACACGTTACCTCTCTCAGGTGATAATGAGACCAATGTTGCCCGAGCTTCTGATTGTTCAAAGGAAGGCAAACATTGAGATCCTTTTATAAAAGCACATGATTTTTTTTAAGTGTTGCCAACACATTTTTAAAAACTTGAGCACTCTCCTGGCCAAACAAAACATAGCTGAGGCCGTACTTGATCTGTGGACCCCAGAGTGGTGGCTTCCGCCTAAACGGTGAGCTGTGTGAAATGCATGAAGGCAGGAAAGCCATCTAGATTCGTCCACAAGAGAAATGGCTCAACAGCTCAGTCAGTTACTTTTCAAATATTGCTGTGTTCTACTCCAGTGTTTCTCAACAGGCGCAGTAGCAACATTTGGACTTAGATGAGTCTCTGTGGTGGGGGGAGAGAGAGAGAGAGAGAGAGAGAGCGAGAGAGAGAGAGAGAGAGAGAGAGATCAATTTGTTGTTCCACTTATCTATGCATTTACTGGTTGCATCTTGTGTGTGCCCTGACCTGGGATTGAGCCCACAACTTTGGCGTATCAGGACAACACTCCAAACAACTGAGCTACTTGGCCAGGGCCTCATGTTAGTCATTTTCAATGATTATTCCAACAATGTCACACTCTCAACATAAGACATGGCTTAAGATAAATATGTTAGTAAATAAATATTCTGAGAACATATTTTCATAAATGAAATGTGCTGCTATACATATACAGAATATACATAATTTGTTTTCTAGCCTTTTAAAACATTTCTTTTTAAAAATGGTAATGTTGGAGAAGGAGCCCTTAGACCCTTTTATTACAAAATCTTTACAGCAAAGTCTTTACAAAATATCTCTTAAGTGCTATGGGAGAAAATTTTAAAAAAAAACCATTTAAAAATAGTGCCTTGTTAGATCCAACACAATAGAGTTTATATAAAGAATAGAAAAAGGGAGTTCCTTTACCTTGTGGGGACACCATCCCTGGTCTCTACCTACTAGACGCCAACCCCAGTTGTGGCAACCCAAAATGTCTCTAGATAGTGCTTAATGTCCCCCTGGGGGCAAAGTCACCCCAGTGCTCTAGAGAAAAAGAGAGAGAAACAGGAGTATATTTTAGTTATAATATAATCTATAATAATAAAAGCGTAATATGCTCATTAGACTGGACATCCTTCCGGATGACCTTCCAGACGAAGCCGCAGCAGTGGGGCTGAGGCAGTGGGGCGAGGCAGAGACCCCCGGGCCGCAGCCACGGCGGAGGGGGCCAAGCCCCCTTGCATGAATTTCGTGCATCAGGCCTCTAGTAAATGTTATAAGTGAGAACCAGATTGTGGAACGATAAATGGAAGCTGATTAGCAAGCTTGATTTTCAACCAATTTATCAATAAGAATTTACTGAGCTAGACATTATGGAGCGGGGTGGGGGGGGCAGAACTATAAGCTGTAGCTGCAGGTTCTAAGTCATGGACAATAATTTGTAATTTTAAAAATTTAAATACAGTGACAGAAACAGAGAAAAACCTGCCTCCTATACTGTCATTTGATGCCATTGTCCAATCAAGACTCTAATTACCCATATGATTTCCATGTGGCCACGGGCAAGCTGCTCACTGTCTCTGAGCCTGTTTCCTCTCCTGTGTAGTTCACCGAGCCCAGGGGGAACGGGCCAGCGTATGTGCAGGTGCTAATAAGGCCTCTGAAGAGAGGAGACAAAAGGAAGGCTAGGGAGTGCCCGTCCTCCCCAGGCGAGGCAGCCACAGCACAGCTGCTGCTGGTGCGGCCAGTGGGCTAGCGTATGTGCAGATGCTAAGCGTGGTCTCTGGCCCATAGTCAGGTTAGGAGAGCTAGGTTTCCTTTCTTATTTTCTTCAGTTCCATTTTTTTTTAAAGAACCGAAAACCTTTCTGGGACAATTCTCATTTGACTGAAGTGACTTGCTGAAAGTTGTTCAGACCCTTCAGGTGCAAGATAAATATACCTTCCTTCCCCTGCCAACTTCCTTCCTGCCGGATAGTTTGTTTTAAAAACACCTTTCAGTAGCTTTGGGTAGAGTTCATTTTTCTGTGCTCAGCACAACGCCTGGTTGGCAGGGCAGCTCCAGGGCATGGGAGAAGCCAGTCACCCAGCGGGGAGGGGCAACAGGGCTACACAGGGCATTGGCCAGCTCAGGTCTGGAAATCTGCTAACCCACCTAGTGTTTCCAGGGGCCTGCAGAGTCCTCTTAGCTTATAGACTCCTGAGAACTCTTACCAGCACAGAGGGCACTACTTAGAGCTTCCCAAGTAGATGGTACCATTTTATGCTCTGTTTTCCCTTTCACTTTCCCTCTGCCTAGAATGCCCCTTCCACCCCTTACCCCCCTTTTGCATTCAGCCTTTAAGATGGCTCAACTCAATTATCTTCACCTTAAGAAGTCTCCCCACTCCACCTCCATCCCAGGTAAAACTGGGAGACTCTTCTCTTGGTTCCCTGAGCCTCCTTCTGTTGTTCCGACACCTCCATTAGGGCCCTTGTCACACGTTCTGCCATCATGAAGGCAAGTCTATGACATTCACATTTCTCTCTCTAGTGCCCAGCCCTGACTTGGTACACATAACACATAGCAAGTGTTTGATGACTAAATAAATCAATAAAGGAGTAAGTCTAAATTTCACAGAGAACTGGGCCCTTTGGCTATTGTGCTAGTCACACAATGCTGAGCAAAAAGACCTGATCGATGTTGAAGACAAAATTCACATCCTGAACATCTGTAACTATGAAACTCCTACAGTACATTTTGCAGAAGCAAAGGAGAGGACCCCGGGCCTGTGGTCAATGGCGTGCTGCCTTCCTGAGCAGGCTTGACTGGCGGGCTTGCTCTAGGCCCCGTCTGCTCTGGACTCTGTCCTTTGCTAAAGGGGGTGTTTAGGTTCCTTGAGGAATTAGGATCTCTTTAATGAGATATTTCAGCGCTCCCTTTTGATGCAGTGTCAGCATCCCATTGATTGAGTAGTGAGATGGGACTTTTGCAAATGGTCTGTTCAAATGGCCCTGCTGTAAGTCCATATACGACATTAGGAGATCTTGGCCCCCTTTTGTCCATGTTGATGGGTCCATAAAGGATTTTCATTTTGTCTGTCATGAATCTGGCATGGGAGATGTTTGTCATTCTCCAAACCAAACCCCAGATAAGAAAAACATCTGGCAGAGAATGACCACATGGGTGTGGGCGTCAAAGAAAAAGCAGACACTGTGAACTGAAGAATGTGTGGCATGTAACTTCCCTTGGGTTTTAGGTTAAGTCTGACACCTGCTTGAAGCTTCCCACATCCTTGTCCCCATCCACCGACCCCTATCCCCTGGAGCTGAGCTTTCAGTTTCTTTAATCAATAGAGCCGTGGAAGCTTAGCTTACCTGCTTGCTCTCTTTTTCTATTATAGATCTGAATCTAGGAAATAGATTTAAAAATAAATAATTTGACTTCAGTGAGAGAAGTTTACTGGGGAGGGGCAATCTAATTTGTTGTTGGATTGTTAATAACACCAGGCAAAATTTGAGTAAAGACTCTGTGATAAGTTTTTTACATGGATTCCTTCATTTAATCCTCCCATCAACCTAAGAGGTAAATCCTGTTATTATGATCCCCATTCTTCCACTAAGTAAATTAAAAAAATTAAATTTTGACAATGTTCACAAAGATTCAACAATCCAAACTAGACTGCAAGGGAACAAAGAGATATTTTCAAAATAGTATTAAAAGAATTTTAGTAACATGTTATTCTCCCAAATAGGTAAGCCACTCTATATCATTTCATTAGCAATTGATTGGTTTAGCAACCTTGTTTTTCATTGGTGGTATGGACCAGGAGTCGACAAGCTATGGCACCCAGACCAAATCCAGCCCATCCCCTAAACCCGTGGTTGGCAAACCACGGCTCGTGAGCCACATCCGGCTCTTTGGCCCCTTGAGTGTGGCTCTTCCACAAAATACCACGTGCAGGCACGCACATACAGTGCGATTGAAACTTCGTGGCCCATGCGCGGAAATTGGTATTTTGTGGAAGAGCCACATTCAAGGGGCCAGAGAGTCGCATGTGGCTCGCGAGCCGTGGTTTGCCGAGCCGCAGTTTGCCGAGCCGCAGTTTGCCGACCACTGCCCTAAACATATATGACCTGCAAGCTAAGAATGGAGGAACATGTAAGGCAGGATCCTGCAGACCAGTGCTTGTTTTATCTGACCTCCAAACAATGAGAACTGAGGCTAGATGCTTAACTTCTGAGCCTATTTGTTCTCAGATGTAAAACAAGCTGATAATATTTATTCTGTCTCAGGGGGTTATTACAAGGATCAAAGGAGGCAGTGTAGGTAAAAGCATGTGCTTAATAAACTGTGAAACTTTTATAGAATTACTAGAGGCCTTGTGCACGGATTCGTGCACTGGTGGGGTCTCTTGCCCTAGTCTGTGCCCTCTTGCAATCTGGGGGATGTGCCCCCTTGGGGGATGTCAGACTGCTGGTTTTGACCCGATCCCCGCAGACCAGGCTGAGGGACCCCACCGGTGCATGAATCCGTGCATTGGGCCTCTAGTATACAAATAAGATCTTTGGTTAATCTCTTCCCACCCTCCCTCTCTCCCTTTACCTCTGAGATTCATCAGTCTGTTCCATGTTTCCATGCCTATGCATTGAGCATCTGCACCCTGGTGGTCAGCACGCATCATAGGTACGGGTCGAATGGTTTATGATCGCTTAGGCTTTTATATATATACTAGAGGCTCGGTGCACAAAAATTGGTGCACTCGGGGGGAGAGGAGGAGAGGTGGTCCCTCAGCCCGGCCTCTGCCCTCTCGCAGTCTGGGACCCCTCGGTAGATAACGACCTGCTGGCTTAGGCCTGCTCCCAGGTGGCATAGGGCAGGCCCAATCCCTAGGTGCAGCCCCTGGTCAGGCTCAGAGCAGGGCTGATTGGGGAGTTGGGGCGCTGCCCCCTGTCATGCACAGAGCAGGGCCCGATCAGGGGGTTGGG